AAGTCGGGCCCGGCGCGGGTCGCGCCCGCATGGTCGCCCCGGCGGAGCGCCCGCCGAGGGCAGGGCCGGCCGCGCGAAGCTCGCGTGCGGGGTGCGGGAGGCGGGCAGAGGCGGCGAGCCTCAGCTGGCCCCGGCAGGCGGGGGCGCGCCCGGGAGCCTCGCCGGTCGGGGTCGCCGCCGGGCGGCGTGTGCGGAGGCGAGGAGCGGGCGACGGCCGACCGGCCTGCAGCCCTCCCGGGCCGAGCCGGCGGGACCTCAGTCCCCGCGACCCAGGGACCTCCGGCGCCCTTGACGGAGTCCAAACGCTGAGGGCCCCTAGGTGGGGGCGACGGTTCCCCCAGGAGCAAAGAGAGCTCCGGAGGTGTCAGAGTGGTTTTCCAGAGTTGGATTATATGGGGCTTATGGAACAAATGACATGGGCCAGCACGATTTTCACTCAAGTACAGAGACAGGACTGGAAAGGGTACTCCAGCTTGTATAATAGCCCAGCTCATTTTGTTTTTACTAGGGCCTTATTAAAAGAGGCAATAATCAAATAAATCACCTGTGTTCCTAGGAAAATGGTGTTTAGAGTTAATGTCAAAGGTTGTGTCTTCTCAAAAACATATTTGACCTTTAGAGTTTGCTAGTTGGTCAATAACAGGTGTTTAAGTGGTGCTTCAAGATTGGCTACGAATATTGGAATTAACTGTTGAGCTCATTGTCAAAGCTATACCTAGGGAAATATTCATAAATAGCCGTCTAAGTAAAAGAAAAGGAAAGTAGGCGACCAATATTCATTAACAGCCTATTTGCTATATACTGTGTTCTTACATCCTTCTATCTCAATCGATCCTTTGAAAACATTACTAGTGTCTATTGTTTACAAATATGAACAAAACTCACCTAAATAACCTACCTGATTTGGCAACACTTTTAAAATGAAAAAAAGACCATAAACTTGGACCAAGCTACTCTACTTCTAAGAATTTATATTCCTGTTGGATTTGTACAAGTGAGCAAAGATGCTCATCAAAGCTTTGTTCTGTAATAATTCCAAACAGTAAACAACCCGTATGCTTGTTAGTAGGACTGTTTCAATAAATAAGATAGATACCCCAATACAAATGAAATTCTTGGAAGTCAGTAAGAGAATGGTAATACAGTCAGCCCTCTTTGTCTGCAGGTTCCCCACCCTCAGACTCAGCCACCCTTAGATGGAAAATAAGTCAAAAAGAAAAATTGTGTCTGTACTGAACATGTAGGCCTTGCGGGAGGGGGTGGAGATGTTGTGACAATGCATTATTAAAATACAGGAAACAAAGATTTTCTTATATTCTAGATTCCTTTCATGTAACTTATCATTGAAGTGCATGTTTATCTCTTTTTATACACTTTCTAATTATTGGTTGAACATTTGTTTGTCTTGGATGTAATTACCAAATACACAGAATTTCAAACTGTCAACTCCATATTTATAGATGTAGCTAGCAATGAGGCCACAGAAAGTCAGAGATGACTTTCCATGGCTGTGAAATAAGCCAGAACTCACTTCCCCTTATCACTGTCTACACAACATATCATTTTCAAAGTAACAACACTCTAGGTGAGAAATATGAAGGTCAAGAGAGGCACTGTTAAAAACCAGACAAGAATACCCCTGTCCTGAACTGTACTAAGAGCCACACCCACACTAGACTGCATAGAAAAATTGTGACATTCCTTCATCTCATCAGGTCCAGCTGCTCAGTGGAGTGAGGCTTCTCCCAGAAGAAAACTGACTTCAGGCTCATGATCACGAAGAGCCCTGGGCAAAGTGCCAGGTAGTTGGTTTTGTCTTGGGCTTTCCTCCATTCTGTGTTCCTCCTCCAGTGAGCTTCTCCTTACTGACCCTTGGTGAGCCTGCCCTCAGGACCTTGGAGGCCCAGGCACCAGGGCTCCAGCAGGCTAAGCTCAGGAGTGACCTCTGTAGCAGGAGCTTTTGCTCCTGTTAGTGAGAACACAATTCAGTAAGAAATTGGATTTGTATTTACAGACAACTTTTGGTTATTACTAGATTGCACTTTTCAAAATAAAGAACCAGAGCCAGAGCAACACAGCTGCCCAAGGAAACAGAAGGCTGAAGATTCCTGGAAGCCATGCTAGAGACATGAGTGGTGACAAGGACAGAATGGCCATTAATTCTTGCCCTGAGTCTGATGGTCAGGTGTTGTGCTGTACACTTGCAAAGTTAAGCACTTCTGTTTTATTTTATTATTTTAAATATGGAACACTTCCCAAATTTGGGTGTCATGTTTGCACAAGGGCCAAGCGGATCTTCTCTGTATGGTTCCAATTTTAGTACATGTGATACTGAAGTGAGCACGCACTTCTGTTGAACAGCAGAAGTTAACGACAATTTCACTATTGTCACTCAGAAATTCTTTAGCTCTGAACTCATATTTTCACATTGAAATGATAGTTTTTAAAATATGAATTATAGCTTAAGATATAACTTTGGGGATTCAACAAAACATAAATACTACCATTTACTACATCAAATACCATGTCATTTGCCTTCTCTCATTTTCCCTCCTTTCTTCCTCAGGTACTGTCTTTCACATCAACAGATCTGGACTCCTTGACAAGCCATGTGACTGCAGGGACAGGACTTAACTGCAGTCTTCTGAACTGCAAAATGGGCTGATGATAGTGCATGCCTCATGGATTTGTTGTTTGGGTAAAAAAATAACAAATTCAAAGGAGTTAGCATGATGTTTTGCACATAACAAACAGCAAATATTAGCTATCATTATTCTTATTTCCTTATCTATCCAAAATTAGTTTCTACTTATGTTCCTATAGCTTAGAGTCCCACTAAGTGCTAGATCAACTAATGTGAAACCAATGTGGGAATATCAATATGAGACTCTGAAGTCTAATGTGAAATAGGATGGAAAGTGTGAGGTTTCCCTTTGCACATGCTGAAGGCTGGGGAGTAGGACAGTGTAGACCCTCAAAGGGCCTGGGTCCAGCCTGAGGCTTTTGTCTCTTCCCGCCTCTGTATGGCAAGTTCACTGAGGTTAAAGTAAGTCTCAGGGTGACCCTGAAAATTAACCGCAGAAAGGGGAGTGGCAGGTGCTGTTCCCGTCTGGTTTGATGTATTCTGGCCTCACATTGCACAGGTGCTATTCCAGGTGTTGGAGATAAAAGTCTCTGTTCACCTTAGGATTTACAATGTGTAGAGGGTGGGGAAGCACAAGAAACCGTAAACAGATGTATGATGTATCAGGTCTCTCAGTAAGGTGCTCTGAAGAAAACTAAAGCAGGTTACCCTTGGGGACAGAGTGGTGGGAGAGGTTATTTTCTGTAAGACTGTCCCATGGTGTTAGGCTAGCTGCTTACATACATAAAAGTATACGGTTTTGTTTTTGTACTGGGGATTAATCCCAGGGTCACTTAACCACAGAGCCACATCCCCAGCCCTTTTAATTTTTTATTTTGAGACAGGGTCTCACTAAGTTGCTGAAAGTATACAGCTTTTTAAATTTTGTTTGTTTTAGTTGGTTGGCTAATTGGTTGGTTTTCGTTTTTGTTCTACTTTGACTTCTTTCTTTCACATGTCTGGAAGAAATAGGGCCATGAAGATATTGGGACATAATATCCAGAGGAGGAATATAATTGTGAGGGCCCGAGTAGACTAGGGAAGGACTGTAGGGATGATTGGAAGAGCCTGTGGACCGAAGCTGCCCAGATGGCAGAGGGAGCACTGGCAGGTAGGGAATTCTGGGACAGAGACTGTCGGTGCTTGAGCCTGCACCTATTGCTTGCTGGGTTGGAGTGATACCAATTCCCAGGGAGAAGGCTGAGCTAGAGGAGACGGCAGCAAGGGTAAGGCTGGATCACAGTTGGCTTCCCAAGGAAGTCCAGCCCCAGGATGTCTTTTGAAACTTAGCCCTGGGCTGTGGCTCACATTATCTGGCCTGTTTTGGGGCCAGATCCACAAACATATTTACATTCAACAATTTGACACAAAAAAGTGAGTAATAATGGGAATAGGAATCATTGGGTCACATAGCAAAGGACATTTTCCTAGCTCATGTGTTATTGCTCAAGTCACAAACATTGGAGCGTTATCTTTAAAGTCCATGTAACAGGGCAGCACACACAAACACATGTTCCTATTTAACTCTAATGGCAGTGCTTGCTAAACATGAGTGCCAGATATTTGCCATTACCAACATGATTGACAGACACCAAGAATTACATTCTCTGTACCCTGGAGTCCTATTCTTCCTCAGACCCTTGATCAGACAGGTCACACCGCAGAATACTAAATGGTGAGCATATGGCCAGGCCTTGGAATTGGACAGTACTTGGCTTGAAACTCACTTCTGCCTCTTAACCACCTTTAATCTTGATCCTTAGTACCAATTTTAATCTTGATCCTTAGTACCAATTTTTTGTCTTAATCTACTTGGGCTGCTAAAACAGAATACCATAGATGAGGCTTATAAATAACAGTTACGTCTCACAGTTCTGGAGGGAAAAGTCCAAGAT